ATATATATTTAGACAGTTTGTTTCTCTGTGGGATGTATAAATGAAATTATAGCGACCGCGCGGAATGTGGAATCACGTATAGTATAGAATACGTAACATCGCGGGCATGGATCGCATGGACGGCATTATCAGCGCGGTCGATCTCCCCTCACTCTTCTCCCTTTCCTTTTATTCCCGGCGCGAGAGAGACGGACGTCGTGCCGCAATTAACGACGGAACGTTCGAATGAACCGATAATAACGAGCGGTGGTCGATCGCGAATCATTAGGAGCCGATCGTCCCGATGCTGCCCGCGGCCGGGTTCGCTCGCGCCCTTGTTGCGGTTACGTGCCTGGGATTTAAGAGAGAAACGACCTAGAACCTGAAACCGTGAACTCTCGCTCGCGATTACGGGGTCGAGGTGAAGAGGCTCGCCCTGCCTGGAGTGGTTTTAACACGATCGGGCAGCTCGTTACGGTACGGGCGTAGCAATGGCGGGTTTCTTCTTCTTTTTCTTTCCTCTTTTTCCCCCGAGAAAAACGCTCTTCTACACGAGTACTCATATTCATTCGAGGTATTCACGCTCTTATGGCTACGTATGTAAAAATAATTTACACGCGGCAGCGCGCGCCATTATCTTTACATATGCAGATTGGACGCGACGCGACGCGACGTACGCAATAAAGTGCTCCGGTAAGACTCGATGAGCTTAATACGAGATTTATTCCTATGTATTCGGACGACTGCGTGGAACGAAAGCTTGTTAGCTTGTTTTTTAACATGTGATACGATGTGTTACGATGAGAATATTTTCGTTGAAATTCGTTTTTATCTCGCGGCTCTTACTTCGCGGCTCGAATGTCAATCGTTAGAATTGAAATTACGTAGCTCCGTAGCAACTACGTAAGGAGAACCGATAAGAGTAATGTAATTTTACGAACGGCAGTTTCTCCTCTGATAGTGATATCTACTGTTTTATCTTGGTGATCGTTTTCGATAATAATGCAACCGGAAATTGCATCGTCATAACATTCGGCCGCTCTAAGAAAATTAATCAGTGGCAAGGAGAGAGAGATTCTCGTCTCGATCGTCGAGGGTATCTCACGTTGCTCCGGACAAGTGCTTGCAAGTCTCGCGTCTCTCAAAACGTCTAGATAAAGACTGACAGGGGGGAAGAGGCGAATAAAAGTGTTCGATATCATTGAATCATTTGGCTCATGGATCTATATTAAAATGACCGTCCTATCCGGCCGATCCATTTCTAGAGTAATTTATTCGGAGGCTTTGCGGTCCGCCATGAAAATCTTAGTTGTTTGCGTCGAACACCCCGTGTTATATTTATAACACCGCTTCTTATCGACGTGTCTCGCAAGAACTCGCGAGAAAGCAACGCGTTTTGTTCCCCGCGAGAGGAAACCGTGTCGGCGCGCGTTTTAGCCGGAGACGAGCGTCTTCGAAGAAACGGCCAGCGTAAGAGAGAAGAGGAGAGGCAGAAGAAAGAAGAGAGAGAGAGAGAGAAGAGAGAGAGAGAGAGAGAGAGAGAGAGAGAGAGAAAGAGAGAGAAAGGTAGAAAGGCATAGAAGAAGGCGAATGGATTTGCTCGCCCTTTGCCGCCCGTAGAAAAAGGGTCGGCTCCGGCCGGAGACCTTGGGTCGGAAGAGGAATGCAAATCGAGACCGGTCACGAATATTCTAATGTGCAGTTAGTCCTTACACGACGGGATTGCGAGAGAATCGGCATTCGGTTTCTCCCAACGGGTGTAACAGCCACGATTACACCCGGGATGCGCGTCCAGACATGTTCATGACATTCGCGATTAGATGCCTCGCGTGCCTCCGAATAAGCTGGAACGCTGGAAATGACGATGTCGAATCTCGTTACGGCCGACGGTGTTTGCGGTATTTTTAGTTAGTTTTATCGCAAAGACGGGCAAACAGGTTGCCCGTCTTTTTTCAATTAGGACTCGCAATGTCGCGTTGATCGAGATTAAACGTATCGGGGAAAATGACCGGTCGAGGAGTCTTTGTAGATCGTTATAGATCAACTTCTTCGCTGTGAAAATGTTATCCTCACGGATGCATCTTTTATCGATTCTGTCTTGGCTATTTTTTTATATTACAGAATTTACAATATATAAATATTTTGTATGTGCTCCCTTTAGTACTTTAGCGATATAAGAGAATTTACGGCATCTAACAAAACACTATTATATTACGTGCGTAACGATCGCGCTAGCGACGCGTTACGAAACGAATGCTCCCGCGACAAGATTGTTCACGAGAGCGTGAGATTTAGAGAGGTGGAAACGGAGCCGAGAAGGGAAAAACGTCCGCAACGAGGCGGTTGCACGATCGAACCTCGGGATAACCCCCGGAGAAAATGCTTCGCCAGGCTTCGCGCGAGAAGACGGGACGGAGATAGACGCGAGCGGGCATGATGGTAGTAAAGTTCACGGAAGAAATACGCGATACGTAGAAAGAGAAGGGCCCCTAGGAAAGCAGAAGTTTGCCAAGGAGAGGATTTCGCTTTACGATCACAAGAACGGATCGCGAGTCCTCGTTTCCGCTCTTTCATCTCTTCTTCGATTTTGTTCCGTCGGTCATTCCGAGAACTCTTCGCGATCCGGTATCTTGCGTCTCTTTTTTTCACCCGTCCTTGCCGCGCTATTTTCCTACGACTAGATTTACACGCTTTAGTTTACACGCCGGGGTCGTAACGCGAGTGGACTTAAAGTGGGGCGAAATTAGTAGAAGTCTAATGACGATCGATTAACATACCTTTGAGTTGAGAATTGGCGTCCGTATGAACGGCATTTATAGTCAATTGAAGTGTCGATCATCGAATCCTCGAGCAAATTTTTTTCGACTCGATAGTCGCAATCGTCTCACATCAAGATTCGAGTGTCTCATCATTTTTTTTAAGTATTCGCGAGATCACGTAACGTATGAACGTAACGCATCTTCTTTGAATTCTCATTTGACATGAAGCAAATCCGAAACGAGCGGTCGGTTATGTGTAATTTGTACAGGATCTCTTCTCCACAGAGGTGAGAGAAGTTCGTCAAGTCAAGGATTCTTTCTTGAAGTCATTGACATTGCCAGCCGACACGAAGAGACTGATGCTGCCTATTATATTGAACGGTTAATAAAAAACAGCGACACTCTCATTCTACAGTCATTCGATTATCGTTTCCAAACATATGACTCACCGCCGTGAGTTCTTTTTACACTAGACTCATATTATTACCATAAATTTGGGAAAGATTCTGAACGTTCAGAAATCGTCTAAGCGATTACATATTATAGAAATTTAGATTTATCATTCGTATTCGTATTCGTATATATGGCATTTTTTTAGGCAATAATTAATTTTTTTAGATAATAATTTCAGACAATTTAATTGCTTCTCACACAATTTTAATTTAATTTTGGCGAGAGATCTGGTCTTTTCTGAAATTAAATTTCGAAAGGGAAGCTCCCCGCGTACAAATCTGTGATCTCGGGTTCTCGGAGAGAATGGGAACTCCGCGGATGAAATGCTCGTCCGTCCAGATGTTGAATGTTTCTTAATGGCATTACCTGACGAAGCGCGTTGCGCTTCTCCGCGCGATTTCGTTTCGGTGCGCGTTCTGAGATGCGCGCGGCGCGACCGCTTTTTTGGCGTTGCATGCGCATGATGAGATCTATTATCTCGAATGACTGTCCTCTTTCGCTGTTGGCTTCTGCGAACGTGGTCGGTGAACGTCCTCTCTCTCGACGGGACACCATCAAGTGTACACTGTCAGCGTATAGACGGCAATCGTCACTCATGCCATGTGCCCTCGCATTAAAATTGCATTAAAATATAAATAAACAAGCGTTGCAAAATCGCCGTTGAAAAATCACAAGGGTATATCTGTCATCAGGATAACATTTAAATTGATCCCTCCTTCGTGTGTTCCTTTTCGGAATCTCGACTCTCGTCTCAAGAGATATTCGCGCGCGACGTTATTTCGCTTCGGCGAGAGTTCGAAAAAGAGAGTTTACTTGATACTCGTCGATGATTCGTCAAGATCGAGATATTAGCGCGGGACGATATATACATACGTTTTTCCAGGCGACGTTTCCAAACGACAGCCATAATTCAAGCGACGGTCTTCATCGGCTGTCACCTGCCGTGCCCCCGCTATTAGCTATGCGCGACACGAAGGCGTCACTTCCTCCGACTCGGTTTCCGGCCGCCGGAAACGTCCTTCTAACCGCGGCTGAATCCTTAAATGAAAATGATCTCTGAAGCGCGAGATCCCCTCCGCTTCTCGATCGAGCTAAGCGACACATCGTCGAGACGAATCGTCGGATGCGTCGGTTACGTAATCCATCATGGCGCGCTTATACGCGCGCACGTAGATACATACATACGTATGTACATATTTGAAGGAAATTCTCTCCTCTGATAAAAAAAGCGTTAGGAAATTACCGGATGTATTTTACGTCGCGAATCTTCGAGAGAGCTTCGAGTCTTAGGGAATTGGTTAATAAATAATTCTTGCAGATTGCCCTTCCTCAGGGAGACGCGTAAATATTTCCGATATTCTCGCGAAGCGCTAACGCTCGAAGATGTTAGAATTACCTCATTATGTGTGTCGTTTGGAATACCATTTACTACTCCGTCCATCCACGGCGAATATCGAAAGGAAGCGAAGCGAACCCGAGTAAAACCCGAGTTGGAAATATATACGTCACATAGCGGAAGGACTTAAGCTCGGAATTTCCAGTCTCGCGGGACGACGAGTTAACGACGTGTGACATGTTTACGCGTTGTACGCGTTGTAGGCAATAGAAAGGGCCGTTTTTTTTTAAAAACAACATTTCAACGATGTTTCAGCGATCGCGACATTTGCGCGATCGTGATATTCCGCAAGGTGTCCGGCCTAGTAGAAACCGGTGTCCGATTTCCTTTGTACGTACGAGAAAGAGAGTCGGCTCCCCTTTCGTCGTGGTTTTTTGTCGTCCGTTTTTGAATTCCGCTTTCGTTGTCGGCAGCAATCGATACGGTCTGACGAACGAGGACCTAAACCGACGTTGGAGCAATCCGAATCGGGTGTACCATCCAGTGATCTATCACACGAAGGGCCTGATGGAGTACTGCGTCAGGGTGCTGCAAAGATCGCCCTACGTTTTCGTCGACTACCACGGCCATTCGCGGAGGAAGAACGTGTTTCTGTTCGGCTGTTCAAGGTCGGGTTCCTGGAGCGCCGCGGACAGGGCGAAACCGGACCAGCCGGTGCAGTATTTGGTAAGGGAGTCGAACGGAAGGGAATCGGGGGGGCTAGGTAATATATTTTTAGGTCTCGCCCGCGGCCATCATTTATCCTACGTTTATCTGCCACCGGGCCGGCCGGCCGGACGTTTATCACTCTCGGCGGCCGTACTTTCGTACGGCCGAGCTCTCGATTTGCACGAGCAATTGAGCCCGCCGACAGCCGGCTATTCATTTCGCGCGTCGCTTTACGACGTTAATGTCATTAGTCAGCGTTACTGAGAAAGTGTCCGAGAAAGTGTCCTTCCACTCGGGCCACTTCGTGGACTTTTTGTGTCTCGACAAAGCGAATCGAAATTTCGCGATTTCGTAACCATAGCGATTCTTGTTCTATGTCAGATGTTACCGCATCTCATGCAGAGGACCTCGCCAGCCTTTGCTTTGCCGCTCTGCTCCTTCAAGGTCGAGAGAAACAAGGAATCCACCGCCCGAGTAGCTGTGTGGCGGCAGCTGGGAGTCCCGAGGTAAAACGGCGGCTACATCCTGGGCAGATTGGGATCTCGCTCGCAATAAGATTTCATGTAGCAAGGTCGAGGTTACGCGTGTCTCGCGTGTCTCGCGTGTCTCGCGAAAGAGGTCTCTCTTTTTGCCAATCCAAATCGCACGTCGTCGCAATTCGCAATTAGTATTAAAATTAGCTTGGAGAAATATCACCTTCTGCATCTCTATTTATAGAAATCTATAGAATATTGCTAATGTTACAACGCCATAATTGAAAAAAAAAAAATAGAAATAGAAATAGAAATATATCTTAAATCTTTAACGTTTTATTCAAATTAGAAGTTATACGATGGAAAGCAGTTTTTGTGGATGCGACCAAGGCGTATTGGCAGGATTGCATCTCGACACAGAGCATCTTAAAGCCATCGGAAGAGACTTTTGTCAAGCTTTATCTATGATGAAAGACGGCGATGACAATTGGATCGTCGAAAAGTAAGCGAAAGTGTTTATTGTCATAAATTTCTTCTAATTTTTTTTGCAAGAGTATATCAATTTATAGTATATCAATAAATTCGTTGAAATTATTTATTCAAATAGGACATTTATTTAAAAAAAAATTTTTAATAAATATAAAATATAAATATAAATATAAAAAAAAAATTCACTTCCAGGAATTGTTATTTAATCAGAGGATTTTTATCTTTGGAAATTAAAATTTTAATATTTTATGGGCTAGAGTAAAAAATTCTACAGATTAATGTGTTATTCGACATAGATCAACGGAGCAAGCCTGTTGCCCGAGAATGTGTGTCTTACGAAAGTCGCGGAAGATACCGAAATGTATTCAAGATAAACACGCTATACATCATACCACGGCATTTTCTTAATAAAAGAAATACTTAAATTGTAATATAAGGCAAGATTTATGTATGATCGTCCGTGTGCGTGTTATTGTTAATTTAATGCTTTCGCTAAATTATTCTCTATCATCATATTATCCTATCGCCATGCATGTTACCCCTGTTATCAGTCGAACTAACATGTTTCTGTAAATTAACGATAATAGCTAATAAGTGAAAGGAGTATTTGACTTACATGTATTCTTTACTATTTTTTACGTTAATCGACGCAAAGCGTCTCTTATTTAGCTTATTATTCAATATTGTTCCTTGTTAATTGTGCTTGTTATTCTTTTCAGAATTCCCGTGGGGGAACATATTCCCATGGAATCAGAATGTATGGATAACGAGATATCTTCCAGCAGCGAATCCGACGATTTCGAGATTTAGGAGGCTGCAACTTACAATTAGTTCAGTATCAGAGTAGCTATCTTAACAAAATTCATTCACGGATATTTATTTTCCTGCACTTTCAAACTTAAAAGCTAATACAAAAATTATTTTTTTCTTCTGAAGTATAATATAATACAATGCAGTATTTGGGATAAATATTTCAAACAGTTTATTTATTTAAAACTGGTAACAAACGTTTAAAACTACTATGAAAATACTATCTACACATCGTAAAGTTTATTTGTACATATGTCGGAACTCAATACTTCGCAAATTAAGTGTGTTTACAATGAACAGCTATAGATTTAATAGTGTGAGAAACGCTACTTAAGTTAGTATGACCGCATATGATTTAATTGGAAATAAAAGTTCTTAAAAGTTGAAGATATATCACAAAATCACTATCCAAGCAGTGATAAAACAATGGCATCTAGAAGGTTTTACATTTTTGGAAAATTGAATTGTTGTTTTTTGTGCCTAACAGAAAGCAGATTCAAATAATATAAAAAAATAGAAGAGTTATGTCATTCCTTAATATAGTACCTCGCTCTACTTTGTATACATAATATGTGATTATATAAATATAGGAAATAAATGTTATTGAATTGTGAGTTTCTATCAGTTTACGAGGACCTCGTCTTAAGATTTTCTGCAGCAATTATTTTCACGAGTTACCTTTTGTCTTTACATGCGTATCAACATAACACTAATTATAAATTTTGGCAGTTATTATGTTGCCTTTTAATATAGAAGCAATGCACATAATATTACGTCATACAATAATTAATGAAGAATTTAGAAAATTAACAGGCTGTTTTCTCAATAAGCTAGCTTATAATAATGTGTGAAAATTACAAATCTATTGACTAATGTCAGAATAAATAATCATTTGTATTACACAATAATGCAACCATATAGTAATTAAATATAAACGTGAAATATCAGGAGATAATACTATACTAATTTCAATATTAAAATTCTGAAAGTAAAAAGGAATATTACAATTCGATATTTTAGACATATATATTTGTATAGTGAAGAATTCACGATAAAATTGCTTATATCACTTTCTATTAAAAGCATTTCTTTATTATTTAAAGTAAATTTTTGATTGGAAAATTTAATTCTTTAGATTTAGAAAAATTGCATATCAATTAAGTGTAATCAGTCATGATTGT